CCATTTGTCTTCAGCGATCGTATTGGGAAGGCGAGCACACAATGATTTGATTTTTTTTGTTCTTTGGTGCCTGATACCTGATCCCTTTGACACCTCGTGATCACACAGACTGGTGTGCTTCTTCCACATGGACTTTGTTGCTTCTGAGCTAGATGGCTGCTTGTTTATCTTCAAGCCTTTAAGACTCCAGATGCTATATCTTTTTATAGCAGGGCACTATCAGCTTTCTTCACCACATTTGCTTATGTGCCCACTTTGTCTTCAGCGATCTTGTCCAGAAGGTGAGCATCATGGAATGCCAATTTAATAGAACAAAGTATTCTTGCCTTGGGAGTACGTGAATGGAGGCCCAATCTCCATCTGCTACCTTAATACTAAACCTATAAATATATGTACATAGATCTATTTCCCCATTATCATATATAAATATTTTTACATATGCACATGCCTGTATTTAGACCTCTATAAATGCCTTTTCCTCCTAGTTCTTTCCTCTGTTTCCTTTTACTTTCCTCTTGTCCCACTATCATGCTCAGCCTTTATTTGGGTTTCAGTAATTCCTCTCAGTTATATTACCCTTGATCAAGCCCTACCAGGCCTACACCTTCCTCACCACCGATTTTGGAGCAGCATCTTTAATGTGATTTTCCCATCCCTGTGAACTGGAACTCAGTCCTTCATAAACTGTAATCCCTGCCTTCGTCCTTTTCGCCCAACCCCATTAGCCTTGAATACACTTTGGATTCTTATACATGTGCTTTTTCTTGTCTTTTTCTATAAAGTGAGGTCTTATAGTATTAACCCTTCTGTGATTAACTTATTTCATTTAGCATAATGATTTAAAGCTTCATCCACACTATAGCATGAATCAAGACTTATTTCTCTGTTGGGCTAAGGAGTATTCCCTTGTATGTATGTACCACACTGTTTATCATTTACCCATTGATGAGCATTTAGGTGGCTTCTGCCTTTTGTCTAGTGTGTAGAGAGTGCTTCAGCAAACGCTGGTATACAAGTCTGTTTGAATCTCTGCTCTCAAATCTTTGGGCTCTGTACAGTAAAACTTGTGCGATCCAGAATTGACAGAACTTGTTTTTCCAAGTCTCGCATGTTCTCTGCCTTTTACAGAATGAGTCTTGTGCTTTTCTGTTGCTCATTTTAGTGGACAGGTATTTGAGTTTTCCTTCTCAGCCTGGTTTCCGCTTTCACAGGCTTTATCGTGGCTAAGAGTGAACTTCCTGGGTCATATGGTAATTCTCTTTTTAGTTGCCTTGAGGACTTGCCACACTTTTCTGTAACATCTGAACTATTTTGCGTCCCCATGGGTAAGGGTTCCATGTTTCCCACATCCCTGCTAACTTGCTATTTCTGTGGGTTGTTTGTCTCACTGTTTGTTTTGAGCTGTTCTAGTGGGGCCAGAATAGTATCTCTGTGTGGTTATGATTTATGTTTCTCTTAGCTTTAATGACCCAGAGCATCTTTTCATGTGTTTGGTGACCATTTGAATGTCTTCTTTGCTGAAATATCTATTCAAGTCTTGGGCCCATTTGATGATTGGGTTATTTGTCCTTTTCTTGTTAAATTGTTGTAATTTAATATAATTTTGCTTATTAGAAGAGTCATCAGATAAATCATTTCTGAAGATATCTTCCCAGTCAATAGCTTGCCTTTCCTTGGTAAAGTTTATTTGTTTTTTATTTTTCATTGTGAATTTACAGAGCAAGCTAGTTTTCAACAATTCACACACATTGGGTTTCGTGTCACTGATTGCAACCCCCGCAGTGTACTATCGCTTGTCCCATTTCCTGCCTGTGTCTGCTGTTTCCATTCCCCCTTCTTTCTTACCTCTTCCTGCCTTCTGAACTTTGACCTTGGGCAAATGCTGCCCTTTTTATTTCAATTGATTGATTAGTCTAAGCATTGCTTAACCCCCTAGGACTCTTGCTCATTTTTGTTGTTTGTTGAACGTGGAGACATGGGGTGAGTTCAGTTCCAAACCTGAAGGATGTCGAAGGACCAAAGTCTAGGGATTTCCACCAATCTCTGTCTGATCAGAAATGGATCGTCTTTTGATGAATGATTTTTTTTATTTTTATGAGGTCCCATTTATGTATTTTATCTTTTACTGTGTATGATTTTATTTTCACAAATTCATTGTTAAAAGATAGGCCTGAGAGTGTTGCCCCTGCATTTTCTTCAAAGAATTTTATGGTTTTAGTTTTCACATGTAGGTCCTTAATCCACTTTCAATTTACTCTTGTATATAGTGTAAGGCATGGATCCTGTTTCATTTTTCTTCATGTGGAAATCCAATTTTCACAACCTCGTTTATTGAAAAGACTTCTCTTTTCCTGCCCTTGTCAAAAACCAGTTGACCATAGATGTGTGGATTTGTTTCTGGACTCTCCTTCGTTGTCCACTGGTCGATGCGTCTATTGTTACGCCAGTAGCAGGCCGTCTGATTACTGTTGCTGTGCGGTGTCTTTTAAAATTAAGAAGTGTTCCGTCCTCCTACTTTTGTTCTTCTCCTAAAATATTGCTTTAGCTATTCAAGTCGTCTTACCATTCCATATAGAGGATTGATTTCTTCCCCCCACTTCTGTGAAAGAGGATTTGGGAATTTTTATAGTAAAGTTGGGAGTTTTGACGGCAGAAGTTGCCACAGGTTAAAACTTTTGCTTTGGTATCTCTTGGTGCCCTCGAGGATGATCTTAGGTTGGTCCAAGATAAGTAGTAAAGTAATAAAGAGGTAAGATGGTTGAGAGAATCTGCAAGTGGCTTTGTTAATTTAGCAAATGTTTATTGAGCACCTCCTGTGTACCGCTGTTCAGAGGAATGGTCCAAGTAATAGATCTTGATATGAGGAGAGCTATGACGTGACGTGAGAAGAGGCCGGGTAAATGCATACAAGGAAATAATAGATTTGATTATAGATTGTACTATGTGATAGGCTATACTGAGCATTATTTTATCTCTTCATTCGCTTTGGGAATTATCACACTGTTTCATTATGATTTAATTCTTGTGCTTGAAATATGTAAATTGCTGGGACAGCTTTTGGTTGTCCCAGTGACTAGCAGCGTACTACTGACGTGTTGTATCAGGAGACGGGAGTGGTTAACTATCTGACGATGCCTGGGACAACAAAGACCTCACCCTCCAAAGTACCATTTAGACTTCCAGTGAAAAAGCGTGCTAGAACCAAAAACTGCAGGTAGACCTTTAACATCAAACTTAATGTGTGTATTTCCTTCTTAATAACTCACTTATTGGTGAATTATTCAGCTTATTCAAAGGAGCTGTTGTCTTCACCATAAGTGTACGTCCGCTATATTTTTTTTCCCTTTTATAGCATTTTAGACTACTAGCCAAAAATAGAGCAATGTAATACTATAATTTACACTTGGTGTTTCAGCTTTCGTATGTGATTATACAAACTGAAGTTGATTTAATGTTTGCCAGATGTCCCGTAAATGGATCTGTTTTTTAATTTTGAATGAAGATGCAAACACATTTTTTTTTCACACACCCCCACCCCCGCAAGCACATTTTTAAAACTGGCAGTTGCTTAAATGTTCCAATAAATTATTTAAATTGAATTTTTCAAATTCTGAAAATATAGTCGAATTTGAAAAATTAACGAAAATTAAGAAGATACAAAAATAACGTTCCTATATAGTTACATAATATAATTAGAATTTTGGAATTTCTCATGCTATCAGGTAGACTTGAGAAGCGAAAACACGGAAGAACCCAAGTTATCTTTGTATCTGGCATTTTAGCCGTATTTCAGACTTAAACTTGTTTATCAAGTTTGTGGGAATGGGTTAGTCAGAGAAGAGGTAGAAAGTACTTTCATTGAAATGACCAAAAATTAACGCTAATATACCAACTTCAACAGATAAAAGTGGAAGCCGTTGTTCCAGCCTCAAGTCCAGTGATCCCCAGATTGACTCTCAGAGTTGGTGCTGGTCAAGACAAGATGTAAGTATGAACGTTTTGAATCAGAGTGAAACAATTTATATTTAACCGGCTCTGCTGTTTTCTAATGGATTGAAAGTTCCGCAACCCTTTCCAGCCATAAACACGTTGTCCTCAGCTTTATTTTGAGAATTCTTCACTTTAAATATGTCTCAGAGTTAATAACCTACTTTAACAAAAAAGAGCATTTGTCATTTTCTCTCTTCCTTTTTTTTAAAGCCCAGCATATGACATTGTTTCCATATAGTTTTGAAGGCCGTGACTATCTGAAAACTAAGGAACCATGCATTTGAGTGGACTCACTGCCATTTTATACCCAGGTAGATGTAATGTTGTACCTTCTTCACAAGTATGTATTCTCCATCACAACAAAGAAGAGCTTCCTCTTGCTCAGAGAGCGAATGCTTTGTTCTATACCTAAAACCCATGATTCCGTGAAAGGTTTGGTCAAACTGTGTGTAATAGTAATGATGTAAGACTTAGTTGTCTAGTTGTTGTTTTTGTTTAGTTTCTAGCTTTGGCTTTTGTTTTTGTTTTTCATGAGAGAATGAGAAATATAAACCTTATGTTTACTGTTTTTTTTATTCATAATTTTCACTGAACCATTATGCCATCTAACATTCATTGAAAGTAAATTAACTGGATTTGGTTGGGGCAGGGCGAGCACACTATGGCCTACTTTGAGACCTACATTAAGGCTTTTAAATGAGTCTAAAAGATAATGCAGCCTTTATTTATTTATTTTAATATATATTTTAAAAATTATTTTATTGGGGGCTCATACAATTCTCATCACAATCCATACATACATCCATTGTGTCAAGCTCATATGCACATTTGTTGCCCTCATCATTCTCTTAATATAATATTTTTATTGACATATCTTACTCATTCCAATATATCCCTTCCCTTCCTATACAGTTCTCTTGTTCAATCCCTTCTAATGGGGTTATGCAATCATCAATGCTATCAGTTCCCTTCTACCCATCCCCTATTCCTCCCCTCCCACACACACATACTTCCCATACCCTCAGGGAACCAAATGACTCCTGTCACTGTCTCTGAAGGGTCGTTTACTGAGTGATCTTAAATATACAAATGAACATATGCAAATCTAACATGTCTAATGAGGTATATCACCTTAATAGTAAGGGGAGGAGATCTTAAAGAACTTGAGGATAGTTATCTGGTTCATCAGTGCCACACAGTACCATGGATTTATCCTCCGCTCCATGTGGCCCTTCTGAGAGGGACTGTCCAATTGTCTTGCTGGTGGAGTTTGGGTCTCCACCACATCCATTCCACTTCATGAAAATATTTATTTTTGCATAGATAATATTGAAAATGATTCTTCTTTTTCTACATCATTTACATAAATTTTGAAAGCTAAAGCTATGTGTAGTAAACTTTAAAATGGAGTACTTTACTTTGCAAGCAATCAATAGAATCATAAGGCATCAATTCTTATTCAACATTTAGCTATAACAAAATGAGAGTTGGGTAGAGAGAAGAAAATTTGGCATGTGATTTCAGTGGTCCATTTTATCTTGAAGTTTATATTTCATATTGCTTCTTTTGTCAATTCCAAATATTCTCATTGTCACTGAATCAATTCTTACTCATAACGACTCTATAGGGCAGACTAAAATTGCCCCTGTGAGTTTCTGAAACTAACTCTACAGTAGTAGAAAACCCCATCTTTCTCCTGAGGAGCTGGCCTGGTGGTCTCGAACTGCTGTCCTTGTGGGTGGTGACCCAATGCACAACTACTAAACCACCATGACTCCTCAGTGCAATGAAAATGACCAGTATGGTTATGGTGAATGGTAGTATACAGACAAATGAGGTCTTCCAGGAGAGCACACATAAGATTAGGCTGGTACATGTTTTACTTAACTAAATCATCTAGATAGTCTTGGTATTATTCCTCTGGGTTGTGACAATATTGATCTAGACAGTGGGTGGTAGTACTGCTGACAAACTTGAAGAAATGCTATCATTGTAGCTCTCTTTAAATAAGATATCTAGTATATCAGCACCTTCTATATAACCCACAATAATTTCAGTAACTGTCATTCTTCAATCTAATAGGTTTAAATAGGTTCCTGAACTTATTTGGCCTAGTGCCCACTGTTTTCAGGGAAAAAAATTACTATCTTCTGCCCTGGCAATGAAAAACTTTCATCTGATAGTCTATATCCCAGGATAAAGTGTAGGTATCTGTTTTTTCAGCCCCACTGGATAGTTCCAGTGTTCTCCACACCTCCCCCACCCCCACCGCCGCCACCACCAAAGGGTGATAGTATCCACTTTGGGAAATACCTCAATAATACAAGGCAGGACACAATTATTCTGTATGTGGGCAACATTTCACTAAAGGGAAAATGCTCCTATTCATTCTTCAATCAATCTTTTCTCTCATGTGTTCATATATGTATTTTTCCATAGCTCACTATTGTTTAGTCTTTCACATAAAAGTTTGGAGTCTTCACTCTCTTTAGAGAAATAAGATTTGTAAAAAGGCATCGAAGTTTATATATTCCTCTGAGCTGCCCTTAAGCATCTTTTGATCATTCTCTGACTATTCTATCTTTTCTCTTCTCAATAAATCACTTCTACACCTAAGATCTTGGAAGATGTGAGAAATAGAGCTTTCAAACCCTAAGACAAAAGGTCCGATATTAGGGAAATTATAATCCCAGACACTCTACACAAGTTTCCCTTGAAAGTATAATTTTACATTATTCAGAAAGTTTAAATAACCCCTCTGTTAAATAAAAGATTAATCATTTGACTGAGGGAAATACAGAGAGATCCTTATAATGAACAAGGGATAAATAGTGAAATATACTGGATTTTAAAATAAGAGGGAAAGAAACCCAAGTCATATAAAGGTAGAATTTTATATGAAAACTAACAATCATTAAAATACCTTTTTAATAAAATAATCATTCAGAGGTTAGCCAACTATAGCCACACGTCAAATCTAGCTCTCTCTCAGATTTTATATGTACCACAAGTGGCAGACAGGATTTACTTTGATTCCTCCTAAAGAACACATAGCTACAACCCCCGAATCTGTAACAATCCCATTTTTTGTGCTGCAAACCCATGTCTCTGACCAATAAACAAGGCCCACTCAACACTCAAGAAGAGCCTATTGGAAGTGAGGGCAATCTGGCTGCTACATCTGTCATCCCATTGATCGCCAGGGTTGATTCGGCTGATCTGACTGCATAGGCGGGTCTACCTTTCCTCCCTCACCGCTCCATGTGCATGCTCGGTTGAAGAGGACGACCTTCCCTGATAGAAGGAGGACCATCCTTCAGTCAAAGGTATACGAGTAGCTGAGCTCCCCTGCTAGAACCTCCAAACAAGAAGAGCCTCTTGCATGCAGTACTGGGGAGTGGGTGCCAGCACCACTCAACACCAGCTGTAGCCTCCTGTTCCAATGTGCCCAGGTGAATCATATAAACGTTAGCTCAAAGCGAAGTCCAACTTCAGTCCGCTCGATATGGTGGGGGTCCACCTTCGTGTAAGTCGGGTGTCGGACGAGATGTAGTCATCCGGATTGCAAAAGTGAAGATCCTTTGGCTGTCACCTTTGAGTACAGGGAATAGGTACTTCAGCATGTCACAGACCCGTTTGCCCAGGCCGGAGGGAAACATTGCCCAGGTCAGGGACGTCACGCCGCATGAGGACATTGCAGTGTGAAATATGCAGTGGGGCCAACAGCAGGTGGCTGATAATAATCCTACTGGTGTACCGCGGTGCTCATGAACAACCAGCATGTCGGATACTCCATTGGCTTTGCAGGCTTGCACTAGTGCGCCCACCTCATGCTGGCCTCGGTTCACGCGCTGTGCACCTGGGAACACCAGTTTCAGCTCTTTTGCAGACATCTTAAGGAGGGCACTGGGAATCTTGGGAGGTGGTGATCATGATCTTGAGGTCTTCAACCCCTACCCATCGATATTCATCATCCACATGGCTAGTTAACCCATTCACCACCAGCATCATCAAACTCCAGGGAACCCTATAGGGCCAGTGGGAATCAGGGTTCCCTTGGAGCTGCGCCCTCTCCTGGGAAGTTCGCTGCACTTCCTCGAGGGCCTTGCAGCACAGGTGCTCTCGGCAGGCAAGCCTCATGGCGCAGCACCCTGAGCGCCCCTTCCAAGTGGGTTTAGGAGCGTATGGATTTTTCTGGTTTTTACTTTTTTAAGGGCTGATAAAAATTAATAATATTTCATGACAGGTAAACATTATATGGAATTCTAAGTTAAGTGATGTTTACTGGTTGAAACATAAGGTGTATTGTTTATTCCATGGCAGTAATAATGGAGAAAAGTCAATAAATAGATTCATGTAAATATACCCATAGCTACTCAGTCGGTACATACTTGGGGTTATATACTCGTGTATAAGCCGAGTGTTTCAGCACATTTTGTAATGCTGTTTTTGTGGTAAAATTAGGTTCCTGATACTCAGGTCAGTTTATCCTCGAGTATATACGGACTGAGTAGAATGCTCTTTTGAGGCACCCTGATGGTGGTTACACATTGGGCCTATAACCTCAGAGTTGGCTGTTCAGAACCACTGTCCCCTCCACAGGAGAAAGATGAGGCTTTCTGCTGCTGTAAAGAGTTACAGTCTTAGAAACCCATATGAGCCGGAGTCAACTTGATGGTTGTGAGGGTGGTTTGGGTTTTGGGAGGGAAATTAACTCGAAGACAAGGATTTACAAAGGTGGGGTTTCTAGATTCTAAACCCCAAATCCATTGCCTTTAAGTTGATTGTGACTCAGAGCAACCCTGTAAGACAGCAGATCGTCCCACAGGGTTTCCAAGGCCTAATTTTTATGGAAGCAGACTAGCGTATCTTTCTCCTGAAGTAGGTTCAAACTGCTGACCGAATCAGCAGCCAGAGTGTTTATTGCTGAAGGACAGGCAGAGAAATTATGGGGATTTAGGGGAAGGTCTGTAGGGTTATAATTATCCCCTAAA